TCCGTCCCGAGGCGCGTCCATGTCGACACAATCACAGCATGTAGATGATGTAGGACAGGAACATGAGGCCGATGATGGCGAAAAACATCAATATCAGGACGTCCAGCATGATGAGGGAGATGCGGAAGACGTTCGGTCACCAGAGAGGAGAAATGTTGGGCTGTGTGTCCGGCGGACTGCAAACCCTTCCCGGCTGCTCAACACTGCTGGCCGCCCTGCGAGAAACAGATGCAGCGGGCGATAATAATAGCCGCGGCCAGCTGATCAGTAAAGGGAGCATCTTTTTGTGTTGTTGTTTCTTTAATGGGTGAAGAGTGCGCTTGCTTTATTATAATACATATGTTTTCACTATTATAGAAAACCAAGCGATACGGATAAAAGAGGCTGTTTTTGTTTTATATCAAAGTCATTAAATATTAAACTGAGGGCACACCCCAAACATCAACATAAATAAAAAAAATACCATCTCTACCTGGCTCCAAAGCGTTTCGAGCTTCTTCTGTTGAACATAAAGGATGATGTTATGAAAGATTTGTAGCCATTGACTTCAATAGTATTGGTTGATCATCCTATGGAGGTTATAGCTGCTGTTTTCCAACATTTTTCAAAATCTTTTTTTTTTTAAAACAACAAAAAGAATCAGTCCAAGGCACTCGAAAAATGTGAAAAATTTAAAAAGCCTTTATTCACATGGCTAAATCTCTAAAAACCTACACGTTTCGGCAAGAGTATGCCTTCATCAGGGTAACAGTTTTGTTTGTTTTTTCTGGATTAATATCTTTTTTTTTGTCAAATCAACTTTGTGGTTTCTGTGTGAACTATCCCTTTATGTATTAATATTATGTATTAATATTTCTCAAGTGCTGTTTAATGGAGAGTTTATAAAAACATATTCATTCATTTCCATCCACAGTGGAATTAACCACCAACATATCCAGCACCTTTTACGTAGCAGATGCTCTTCCAGCTGCATATTCCAACATATTTTTAAACATAATTTAACAACTAATTTCTAATAAGCAATTTCTTTTACCTTTGCCATGATGACAGTACATCATATCTTAGTTATTTTGCAAGATAATATTAATCTCAAAGGCTTAACCAAGTAAATTAGGTTACTTTGACAATTAGGCCAGAGATTGGACAACAGTGACCAATAAAAATATATTTATTTTAATATTAATAATAATATTGACCTAATATTGACATTTATTTTTTTTAAACTAAAAGAAATAAGACTTTAAAAAAAATGGGAAATGCACTGAAAATGTCCTTGCTCTGTTAAAAATCACGAGTGAAATATTGGGAAAATAATTAAAGATTCTTAATATATTGGAACTTAAATACCTGATGAAATAAGTATAAGCTCTGAGTAAATGGATCCAGTTCCTGCGTAGACCCAAAAATATATCCTTGTGTGATCGATGTAAAAGTGACAAGGAAGACTTTTTCCATATGTTCTGGACTTGTGAAAAGTTGAGTGACTATTAGGCACAAATGTTTAAAACATTAAATGAAGCCTTTAATTTAGAGACATATCCTGGTGTTGAGTTAGCTATTTTAGTGTACCAGAAAGCAAGTTATCGTTGACAAACAAGTAAATAAATGTTACTGCCTTCGCTACTTTGTTAGCAAGGAAAAGAATACTACTAGAGTGGAAATCAGCAGCTTCACCTAAAGCTTCAATGTGGATGTGTGATCTGATTTTATATTTGAAATTAGAGAAAATTAAATATCTAATGAAGGGATCTGTCCAAATATTTTGAGACATGACAACCTATGATCACAGATTTTAAAACAAGGAAGACTCTCTCCTTTATCTGATTTATATAACTGTGCAAACAGGTTTCATTGTGATCACTTAAATAATTTGGTTTCAAATTTATGTAAAAGACCACTATAAATGTATCAGATTATTGATTTGCATTATCATGTACTGTAGGTAATTATTTATTTAAATTATTTTTAAAGTTTATTTTTTATTTTATGTATTATATATTTGTATTATTATTTTATTCTTTCTATTTATTATTATTATTTTGTTTTGCTATATTTTTTCTATTCCTATTGTAATTGTATTTTAATTTTGTTTGTTTGCTAATTCATTTCGGTGGCAATGTTCAAAAATGGGGTGAAAATTACAACCTTGATTGTACAAAATGTTTTGTTAAAACTTGAGAAAGTTATCACAAATAAATGTAAAAAAAAAAAAAAGATTCTCAATAAATGGATAATAAGTTTGCCTCATTAAAACATTTTAAGTGCTACATTTAATGGTAGCCAGAGAATGTTTCATTTCAAGGGTGTGAAATGCATGTTTAGATTTGCATTTGAGCTTCCACATACGCAAAATGAGTCTTTTTTTGGCCAGAAGCATCATCATCACCACCTTCTACTTCCTTTTCAGGAACTTTCCGAATTTGTTTGGCTGGATAGTCACTTAGAACTGACCATTACTAACAGTGAGACACGATACTTTAATATCACAGATTCTGCTTTTTACAAGCTTGAAACTTTAAACTAGCTTAGAGTTGGCATAACTTTTTAGTTGCAGCATTTTTGTGCGGTGTTGAGAAGGCTTTACGATTAATTAACCATGACTAATTAAAGTGCGGTTAATAGTGAAATCGGTAAATAGATGCATCCCTAACACAGCATTTTACTCCAAACTTAGGGGATCCATTTAAAATCATTGAAAAAGCCTAGTGGTTAGTGCGTTGACGCATAGCAATGAGATGCCCACGGTGACCCGAGTTCAACTCGAGGTCCTTTGCTGATCCTTATTTTCTCCTTTCTCCCTGCTCCCCATGCCTTCCTTTCTCCATTATACTGTCCTGTAATAATAAATGTTAAAGATCCCATAAAATTAAAATAAAGTTATTTTGATATTAGTAACAGTACTATTTGTATTTATGATATCTATAGGCTAGTGTGCTTCAAAGCAGTGACAACAGTCATGTTTATATGGTACAAAACTGATATAAACATGTAAAGCTTGTAGTTTGTCACTTCCACCTATATGGAGCAACAATTTTTATTCACGTCACCTCATACTTCAGTACCTCAGCAAATCATAACCGATCAAATGCTCTCTTGTATCAAGAGCAGAACAATCTAGTTTAACCCTTTCAAGGTTCATAGAGGAAGAATACGAATTTAGATAAGCTAATATGGACATTTAATATGTGGACACAAACTGCATGCATGAATGTCTCACCTTATCCTGAAAGACACTGAGGTAAAAGTGTATAAAAATATAAATATGCACTTCAGTTCAAAGGGATGAGGCGTTTTTGTTTTTATACAGCAAGTGCACATTTCTGATTGAAAGTTCAAGCATTACACTATGTTTCTTTCTAGAAAAACTGTTCTTTTACACCACATTCAAGAAACTATCCTGGAAGAATCCATTCATAAATTGATCAATCCAAACTAAGCCAGAGGATGAGTGAATTATTTGATATATTTTTTTAACGAAGTGCTTTGAAATGTGCATTTTTATTCAATGTTTGATGTAATCTTAACTAAAACACGAAGAGTGAGACAGTGTAGCTCCTCCCCTTTAAAAAAAACAGCCAATAGCGTTTATTGCGTTTATCAGCGCTCAATTCATAAAATGAATGAATAATTGATAATGAATGAATAATGGAGACATAAAAGCCTGGGGAGCAGAGAGAAACGGAAAAATAAGGATCAGCAAAGGACCTCGAGTTGGGACTCGAACTCGGGTCACTGTGGACATCTCATTGTCAACGCACTAACCACTAGGCTTTTTTGAATGGATTTGAAGTTGCTATATCTTTTTACACTGATCTGGTTTTCCAGATCGGAACCAACCCGGAAAACTTGGAAAAATCCCTTTGACTTATCACTGGACCAAACTTTGATGCATCATAACTTTTCAAGAGAAATTCGTGGAAACGTTATCATCCACAATTGAAGAGGCTGCCAAGCTGTATAAATCTACATATTTAACTGGGGTGTAAGTTGAACCCCTGGGGTGCAAGAGTACCCCTAACTTGCCCATTGACCTACAATGGTGAAGAAACTTCCATTTAAAACAGGGACTTTAAATCCCATTGACTTAACATGTGACCAAACTTTGACACATCATAGCTTTTCAAGAGAGATTCTAAGAAACATGTGATCTTTCACAATTGAAGAGGCCGCCAAGCTGTGAAAATCTACATATTAAAGTGGGGTATAAGATGAACCCCTGGGGTGCAAGAGTACCCCAAATTTGCCCATTCACCTTCTATTGAACTTTTATTTAAAACAAAGACTTCAAATCCCATTGCCTTAAAATTGGACCAAAAACCTTCAACACCCCCCTCCTTACCATCCACCACCTTGTTACCTTCACTACACCCCACCAGGTCTTCATCTTCACCAGCCCCTCACCCCACCAACTCTTCACATTCACCACCCACTGATGCTTATGCGCTTCCTGCCAACTGTAATTGAGTACCAGTGTAGTCATGTAGGCTTTCTCAAGCTAACAAAGTTAATCAACGAACTTTAGGTACTAGTTTTATATTGGAGTATTACATTTTACAGTATAAAAATCCCCAAATAGCCTTGGTGAGTCTAGAAGACTTTCAAAAACATAAAAAATGCTACCAACCCCAAACCATTAAATGGTACTCTACATATCAGATGTATTTTGACACATCAAATGGTAATAAGGCTGTATGAGAGTGTGCTTTGAGTGATATACATTACACCAGTATTGAATGATTATACACCAATGATATACAGAGCACCAATATTGAATGTTTCACAGAAGACTAACCATGGTATTCCTCCTTTAAAGTAATAAAAGTGTCTTGAGAAAGCAAAACACTTGCTTCAATCATACTCTGCATTATATTTTGGCATTTTAGACAAGAAAAGCAACGATCGCATTAAGAGTAACATTGTTTCCAGTTGGAGATAAATACATACTAGGCGGCTCCAAAATATTCCACTCGATCAGTTAAACAAACCGGCCTGCCTTGGTATACAAATAGATTTGTTTTATTCCACTGATATTGATAAACTGACATTAAAATTCCGTCTCGTACAATACCAGCAAGGCAATGAGAATAAGCAATGATATGAGGAAAAAAAAACAAACAAACTAACAAAAACATCAATAACAACGTCTTACAGAACAGCTCTGAGATACAGTTTCATACTATGCACGTGGAACGTTCCAGAACTGAAATAGAATGCAAACCAAATGGAATGTTTTGTTTTAAAAAGAATCCAAAGCTAAAAATGGTCCATAGAATTGTGCTTGGGCTCCTCTCACTATCCTACAACTGCTCCTCGCTCGCTAACCGACTAGATATGCTTCTTTTAGTTTTCCCTTTATGAAGAACAATGTACATTACTATTTTCTTGTCATCTGCGAAAAGCAGGAGCAGCAGAACAAAGTTATGCTTAATATATATATATATATTTTCTAATTGATACGGTTAAGGGGCTAGAGAGGAATGTGAAGGAGCTGAAGTGAATATGCAAAAGTCTCCAGCCCCTTTCATACAGTTTTAAGAAAGTCCAGTTGAAAACAAGAAGCCTGTTTTGAGATTCCCATCCCAACACATTGATTTAAATGATCAAGCGTGATGGAACGAAGACCGGAATGACCACAAGTCATGTTCAAGCATTGTTACAGACCCACAGACCAATGATGTGTGAAACTGTACTGATATACATTACAATTACAGGCTGCAAAAGAAGATCATTAAAATATAAAAGAATTGTCAGAGCAACTGATAGGTGTGTTGAGATGAACTGTGAAGTGCTATATAGCAGGCCCTGAAGACTTTCAGAGACCCGTGTGGTGGTGTGTGTTTGTGAGTCTTATTAAGACTTAAGTGCCACTCGTGACAGCACCTTTCCTGGACAAGAGGGAACACTTAATAAAAAGACAAACGCTCGGACAGACAGCAAAAGCAATAGAAAGGGAGGTGCGTGTAAAGCGAAAGATATGGGCGAGAAATCGTTCACTATCTATGCGATTGCGTGTATGCGCGCTGTTGTTGGTATGTGTGTGTATGTTTACATACTGAACTGTGTTTGTTTTGGATCGTAACCGGGTCGGTAGATGTAGACCCCTGAAAGGAGAGTTAGTGCAGGAATAGAAGAGGAAAAAGATGAGCTCTTGAAAGGTGAGATGGCACTCGGCTAATCATCTGCGTCTCTCCGCCTTTTTTTCCGCCCTACTTTCTCTCGGTCTGCTGTTTTTTTTTTTGTTTTTTTTACATGGCCTCCACGTAGTTTGCTGGGAGCATGCCCTGCTGGCCGGTGCGCTCCACTCGCCCGTACATCCAGCCCTCGTCGATCTGCTGCACGTCCACGATCATGTCTCCATCCATGAACGACACCTCGTCCTCATCGGCAGCGGTGTAGTCATACACCGCTCGGTAGCGCTTCTGTAACACACACCAAGGCTATTTTAGTCAACTAAAACCCCTGGTCAAAACACACTTTAGTTAACAGAAGTAAAATAAAAACAAACTACAAGTGAAAAACGAAACGCAACTAACAACAGTCGTTGAAATAAAGTATTAATCAAAAGTAATTATTCTCTTCAGAATTTAATTTCATCAAGGTATACGATCTCATCCTGATATTGACCCAAGCTGCAAAAAAGATTACTTTAACAAGAAAATACGTGGTGTATTGCTTTACTGTATATACATGTTCAAGGTAACCAAATGTTTCAACCAAATTTAGCCATAAAAATAGTCTGAATATTTTGATTCAATATCTCCTGCATGTCAAAGGGCAACATGTAAAAAATTAATTGTTAGAAAATAAATACGTTATCAAGCATTTGGTGCTGTGATGACCAAACATTGCCAATTCAACTATACTTCATTTGCCAAAAAATGTAAACTAGACATGTTAAGCTACATATACACTACCTGACAAAAGTCTTGTCGTCTGTCCAAGTTTTAGAAACAAAAAAAAAATAATAACTTCAATTTTCATCGATATTTTAAACTTTCTGGTTGATCATTTGGTATCAGAAGTGACTAATATGAAAGACAAAAAGCTTCTAGATTACACTTACTTTACACAAAAAAATCAAATATGATCATGCCTTGATTTTTAATTATTTCATTGGGACAGTAAGGTCTGATTTTACTTAGACAAAAGTCTTGTCACTGAACAAAAATAATGTACAGTATAGAATATAAAGTCATGCTGCAGGGGAAAAATAATTAATATTGTGTATGACTCCCATGAGCTTGGAGGACTGCATCCATACTTCTCTGCAATGACTCAAATAACTTATTTATAAAGTCATCTGGAATGGCAAAGAAAGCGTTCTTGCAGGACTCTCAGAGTTCATCAAGATTCTTTGGATTCATCTTCAAAGCCTCCTCCATCTTACCCGACATGCTCAATAATGTTCATTTCTGGTGACTGGGCTGGCCAATCCTGGAGCACCTTGACCTCCTTTGCTTTCAAGGAACTGTGATGTGGAGGCTAAAGTATGAGAAGGAGCGCTATCCTGCATAAGAATTTACTCTCTCCTGTGGTTTGTAATGTAATAGGCAGCACAAATGTCTTGATACCTCAGGCTGTTGATGTTGCCATCCACTCTGCAGATTTTTTGCACGCCCCATAATGAACGTAACCCCAAACCACAATTATTTCTTCACCAAAATTAAGAATCTTGGCTTTTGAAACTTTTCCAAATGATCCACTAGAAGTCAAGTTATCATTGTTGCTCTTACAACTGGGATCAATGACAAGACTTTAGTCAGTTAGTGTATTATTAAAACACAGTATATAAAACTGAGTAGAAATGTGTTCACAGTACCAAAACTACACTAAAACTAACAAAAGCATTAATGAAACAAGCTAAAACTAAACTGAAATGTACAGCTAATTCAAAAATAGTATTGAATTAGTTTTTTCCTTAAATGTAAATCTATTATAACCTTGCAACTCACACATGCAAAGAGAAGTGTATGTACGTCAGCATGAGTGTGTAGGATAATGTGTTCAGGAGATTTCTTACCCCAGAGCTGGGAGGAGGAGCTGCAGCCGCTGGACGCACCGGCTCAGGCTCATAGTGATAGTTCTGGGATGCAGCCGAGGATGGATATGCTACAAGAGAAACATTTGCTTTTTTTATTGTCCATTGTGAGGCCGTAAAAGGCCCTGATATATTCATCATGGCTAGTTAGGGCTGGCAATCTTTGACGACTTCACAAATTGATTGCAAAATGATTCTTGACCTACATTTTCCCCCATTTCTTCAGCATCTTTCCTTCCAACTTTACATTTTAACCAGATCTGAAGTTTGATGTTTTCTGAAGTTTCTGATGTTTGAAAAGGACTTTGTTATTATTCGGTTTCTACCTCTTGCAGGTCCACATCATCAATCTAATTTCAATACAGAATCACTTCTGAACATCTTAGAATAGATTCTGAATTTCAAAAGAAAGAATAGTGATGCACTGACAAATCAATTCTTTCTCCCACCCGTATAGCTGGTGTTGTCAAAATTATGCCTGTAATTTAGTAGCAAGTTGGTATTTAGATTTGTAAAATTATTATTTTTTTATTCTTGATTACTGTGAGCACACTGTAAAAAATGTTTGTTTATCGCTACATTAGTAATTTCAGCTTTTTCATAGCAAGACCTTTACAGATAAAACACGTTACATAACAATAAATAAGTATTATAAACAAATAATAGATAACAGAAAAACCCCTGACATGTTTACATTAAAAACAGGACTCGCGTAACTAAGTTTTTTTTTCTTTTCTCTGTCAATTCAGATAATGGTTTACATATTCATATGTAGACTCTGTAAATTGTGTTAGTAGACCAAGGGAAAAAAATTGTATGTACATGTGTGTGTGTGCATGTATGTATGTGTATGTATATATACATATAGACATGTAGTTGTAATATAATCACTTGTACCTAATAATTATAGAAGGAAATATTTTGTTTTAATTTATTTTATTTAATTTTTTGCATAAGTAAAATGTGGAGGATCTTTTTTATATATTTGCAAACATTCTGTAATTGTACATATTCTCCCAATAAAAAAAAAAAAAACAGGACTCGCTCTATGCCAAATGTCAAATTCGCTGAATTAAAAGCTGAATTTCCATGATCCATCCGCCTCATTTTCACATAAGAGCACTGCAGCTATTCACTACCATTTATTTTCATCTGTACAAAACAGCTTGTTATGCTGTTTGATGTTGTAAACTCAAATTTCCTTATCATATAATTTTCATTTTTATGTTTTTGACATAAGCACATAGGTATGAAGCCCAAGTAGTTTGACGGTTTACTGTGCCTAGTCATTTACCCGTAGGCAAATGAGTCAGAAGTCTAACACAATAGCAGAAATGATCTTACTTCCACATTACAATATAAGGTGAACAATGAACAGAAACAGGCAGCTGATTTGTTGAGCACTGAACACACAAAATTAAGCAGTACTTCAGCAGTAGACTTCAGTGACTGTGGCAGGAAAGGAAAATAATGGCACTGAAAACACAGACAATAACATGAAATGCAATATAAAAAAAAGACATACCATTTACATTAACATTATATAATTTAATATAAACATTTATTATAGAATACATAAATATAAAAAATCCATGACCATATTAGCCCTGTAAATATGATTTTTGACATTGATATACAGTCGGATAACACTAAATTCTTCCTGGAGAGACAGTTTTAAGTGCATCCATCAAAGTATTAGTAACATCATAATATCATTGTCTAATACTCTGTAAAAGATCACATTCTAACAAAATGTGTTTAATGGTGAGGAAGACTTCGACAGTGTTGGTGGAGCATCATTCTTCCATATGGGCTGTTATAAAACAGCAGGTTAACCATGTCTGTATATAATAACTAGGGCCACATGGATCTAGGCCCATCATCGAGTATTTACTTGTGTAAATGTGTGTGAATTTATATTTAATCAGTTTTTAGGTTAATTTTAGCAATATTATTGACTAATACGAAAATGTCCATATGATTTATTTACAATACACGTTGTAAAGCAATATTTTCTTGCATTTTATTAGATATATTATGAGAGACTTGCTTTGTTTGCCAAATAAGTAGGTCTAATTGGATTTGCATTGTAAACATTAAATAAAAGATAAAAAGGTATTGTTTTTTTTATTTCATGTTAGGTTTTAAGTTACGATACTCCCAAAATCATTCCGCATGCATAAATCCGCAGATGTTTGACAAAATTTGAATGTTTTACAAAATAGACACAGTGCTCAGCATTTATTAGTACATCCCTCTCAAATCTCTTTTAAATTCATATTTTTAATAAGAAGCTATACAATATTATTTTGTGAATATGCATTAGATTAGTCAGGACTGAAGTTAAATTTGGAGCTTAATAACTTAACAAAATAACTTATGATAACGGTCCAAAAACTAGTACACTCAAATTTAAATGTTATAGATAAATATTAAATACAAATAAAAAAGGATAAATCAAGAGAAGCAAAAACACTGAAAAGTTTAGTTGAAATTTTGTAGCTTGTAATTTATTTTTGCAATATTTTGCTTGAATTTAATTGTATTATCTTTCAATTTCTAAAGATTCTTGGGGACTAAAATATCATTTTAATAAATATATCTGTTTATTAAATGTGTTATAAAATTGTATAATGCACCAAAATACATTGCCTATATTCACATTGGGGTGTACTCAAATATGCTGAGCACTGTATAAATGAGTCAACCTAGAGTGTACAATTCGGCATCTAGTATATTTAGCTTGGTCATGCCTGATCTCAAAAATATCATTTGGAAAGTGTCTTTCATTTATGCCCAGACTGATCTCTTGCGGTTAATTATATGTACAGTTGTCCCATTCCAATTGCTATTGATTTTTTTGTATACGTACAATTTAATTTTAGGTTTCAGACTGGAAAGAGAAATGAATTATTCCTTCAGTGTCAGAGAAATAGCTTTCTTGCTGCCTCATCTGCAAAATTCATTACCAGACAGTCTAATATGACCTGCAATCCACATGGCAGAAAATGATATTGAATATTGATATTTATTCTTGAAAAGGCTCGTTTTCCTTATTACTATGGCAATTCACGTGTTTATGTTTTCATTAACACTCAAACTACTTGAAACAATTCAGAACTTTTTTTTGCGAAAACCTAATTGTTTTATGTTCAATTCACTTGTATGTTCAATCTTCAATTTGTAGGAATGATTAAGTTAGCTTAATTGATTTGTGTTGGCACAACATGAAGGAATCCAGCTACCCAGCATTTTTACAGTGCAGACTACAGCTGTAATTCAGCCCGAGCTCGACAAGTAGACCACGATTTTGATTGAAAGCTTTTCAAAAGCCTGAACCTGTTTGCAGCCCGACATTATTCAAATGTGCACATGCACACAGCTCTTTGCCTTTTTTCAAGAATGACTCGTTTATATGCGTTTTAACATAATTTATCAATAACAAACGTATAGGACACTTAGACGTTGGAACAAAGAAATAAATAAGTCCTCTGTAACATTGTAACATCTCAGCACTCTAAGCCTAGGCACATACACTCAGCCGTTAAATTGGCCAAACACAACAATAAAAACAAGTCTTTCTTCACAAATTAAATTAAAATAAATTCTAAATTATGACGGGAATTTGTCAATAATGAAAATAAGATAAAGGCTTTATGGGATTTGCTTCGTCACTACTCTTTACAATCCAGCCCTAAGGCGACAGTGAAGCTGAATAATTAAAGAATAATGCCAACATTAGCCTATACTCGGTCTACATTATACATTTCTGATTTAATTACTATTTAGTTATAATTTAAAAATACTTTACTCACCAAGATTAGGTTTTGTAAATGTGTTTTTTGTGGAGGAATATTTTTTGAATCCACTTTAGATGGTCCTGCGCTTATTGATGGTGCGTCCAGCAGCACTGAACACCCTTTCACTGCTGCTGCTACTGGCCGGGAAGCACTACTGATCTGGTTAATTTTGCCAGTTTTGGGTAAGATTGTTTGTTCATCTTCCACCAGCCTATAACATCTATTTTGTTTTCCATGACAGTGGTTTTAATGTAGCGAGTGACCTCGTCATCTTCCATGTCAGCTTGCTGTACATTTTCCCACTCTGCAAAATTAGCTCTTTTTGGCTTCTCCGTCATCATTTGTTTCACCTTTGCAGGGATGGGTTTTGATGTTGTAACAAACGATTTGATTACTTTCTCACACTAAGAGAAATGCATCACATGATACCGTCTAAAATGATAGAAATTAAGCCCGAACCCGCTGAAAAATCTTCAGTTCTAGTGCAGACGTCAACACAGTAAAAAATCCACACAATTTATTTATGCTGTCCCAACACAAACTGATTACATTAACTTGACAAATCTAAGTGGATTGAGCATAAAACCTCCATGGTCTGAATAGAAACAAAATGAACCAGAGTAGATTTCCATGTCAAAGTAACCGCAGAGCGCACCTATACATTACATAATCAGCACGCTCCAGTGGGAGTTTGAAGGTGCTTTCAAAGAAAAAAAAAGTCACTTTGGCAAAGTGTGTATTGGCCTCGTTCTGTTCAAAATAGCATCACGCCAGTTCGGTTTGCTTCACGTATATCAGGGCCTTAAGGATTATGCAGATGAGCAGGAATAATGTAAATCAGATTGCGTACCTGGAGGTGTGTTTAGTTGAGGTGTCAGTGGGAGCGGGGTGTCCCCTCCACTTCGGCTCTTCTCAAAGTCCTCATGGTATTTAATCTAAACGCACACAAAATTACACACAATGTCAAATTACTATACTTTAGTAACTATAATTGTTCTGTCCAATATTCATCATGTTAGTTTACATGCGTTTTATGCTTTCAAACTACTTTTTATTTACTTTTCACTAATGTATAAAAAAGTTGTAAATTCTGCTTAATACACTACCTGACAAAAGTCTTGTCGTCTATCCAAGTTTTAGGAACAACAAATAATATTTTGACTTCTGGTTGATCATTTGGTATCAGAAGTGGCTTATATGAAAGGCAAAGGCCTCTAGATTACGCTTATTTTACCTAAATAAAATATGATCATGCCTTGATTTTTTATTATTTCATTAGGACAGTAAGGTCTGACTTTGCTTAGACAAAAGTCTTGTCACGGAACAGAAATAATGTAGCACAGAATATAAAGTCATGCTGCAGTGAAAGAAGAATTAATATTGTTTGACTCTCATGAGCTTGGAGGACTGCATCCATACATCTCTACAGTGACTCAAATCACTTATTAATAAAGTCATCTGCAATAGCAAAGAAAGCGTTCTTGCAGGACTCCCAGAGATCATCAAGATTCAGATATGCTCAATAACGTTCATGTCTGGTGACTGGGCTGGCCAATCCAGGAGCACCTTGACCTTGTTTGGTTTCAGGAACATTGATGTGGAGGCTGAAGGATGGGAAGGAGCACTATCCTGCATAAGAATTTAACCTTTCTTGTGGTTTGTAATGTAATTTGCAGCACAAATGTCTTGATAATTCAGGCTGTTGATGTTGCCATCCACTCTGCAGATACTGAATGTAACCCCAACCCAGAATTTTTCCTTCACCAAACTTGACTGATTTCTGAGAAAATCTCTGGACTATTTGGGTTCCAGTAGGTCTTTTGCAGTATGTGTAATGACTGGTATGATGCTCAACAGATGATTCATCAGAAAAATCTTCTGCCGCTTTTCCAAATGATTACCCTGAAGTCAAGTTATTATTAGTTGCTCTTACAACTGGGATTGACGACAAGACTTTTGTCAGGTAGCGTACGTGCCTCAACTGAATTATTTAGCTGAATAAACTGAAACATCTCAAATTTGCAAGGATTATATTAGCCACAAAAAGCAGATGTTCTGGAAGCAGCTGTTAGACAGATGAAAATGATAAACATGCACAACATGACACGGATTTCATACAAAAGTGTCAATTATGGATTTATATAACTGAAAAATACACAGCTGTAGCAGCGAATAAAGCGTATTTGTTGGAAATGATACTTTTACCAAATGCTGTGCATTTATATTGAGGAAATGCAATCAGAAAACAAATAAGCATCAGTGTTGAGCTGATTAAAACAAGCCCAATTTACACAGCTTGGGTGATCAAATGTAGCGTCAGATCAGGTTTTGATTTATATTTCTGTTGGCTACACCAAAAAGCAATAAATTTCCATGTGTTTCTGCATTGAAGTATGTAAATGTAGCACATTAAAATGCTAATAAGGATGGATTTTCTGGAAGACTCAACTTTGAGATCAGTGTGGAGCTTGAAATTAGTCTCTTTTACCCACCAAGGCTGCATTTATCAGTTATTATTATTACAATTTAAATTGCTGTTTTTCTTTTAATCATAAACATTTTAATGCATATTTTAACAATATATCCATGTGAGGTCAAAGCCGAATATTCAGTTGTCATTAACCTAGTGATCAGTCAAAAAATCCTTCGGAAATCATTCTGATACGACTATTTTTGGGTTAGATTTTTTTTTGAAAACACTCAAAAATGTGCACAATAAAAAGCTAATATTATATGTTATTATTTGTCAGTTTTGACCTATTTAACTCCCTGCTACAAAGCAAAATTCTTTATTATTACCCTTACAGATACCAAACCATACAATAATGCATGGGGATTTCATCATCAATGCGTCAATGCATTAAAAACAATGACAGAGCATTTTGAAGATAACCCTGCTGTATAGATCTCGCACACACTCAAGCTGAGTGCATCTCCTCCGCAGCATTGGCCACACTGGGTAAGCAGTTCAAGCTGAATGAACTGTAGAAAACTGAGGCGAGGACGAATATAAAAATAGAAAGCATGACGAATACTGCTGCAGTGCTATCTGATAATTAAACTACTCAGAAGACAGTCCTTCATTTGGCAAAGTGGTGGTTTCAGCGAGAGCGTTTTAATTTAATTGAACTGTTCATTCTGAGCCAGGGTGGCAATAAGAGTAATTCCTGCACAGTCCACAAGGTGTCTCCAGAGCCAGACGATCCGGTGCCTTTCTTTCATGCTGACAGGAAATGACATTGCAAAAAGGAAGTTTGGTGACATAGATGTTGCCAGGCAACCAGATTTCTCAGCGAACAGGTGTGGCACCAAAGAGGAAGGATGGGACTGTATAAGTGATCCTCAAGGTCAAACCATTATGAGTTACTGCCAACAATACAGTATTGACAATGTAATGACATGTTTTACTGGTGTTTATGTTTGTTGGAGAGGTAAAGAGAAAGGTTGGGATCAAATCTCTGGGTGTAAATCTACTTTTCTGCTAAAAAAGTAAGGGACTATGTTTAATTTTTAGGTAATTTCATTAAAATTCCTTATAATACACTTACCTTAAATACTGTATAATAATTCAGCAGTTTTAGGTAAATCAATTCATTTAATCAAGAGAACTGCATTTGCTCAATTAAGAAAAAAAATCCAGTGCTTCCCACACACAGACTTTCCGTAGACGGGCCACTCAGGTGTATTAACGGCCGCCCAAGTATATTTAGTGACATTTATTATCATCATTTTACACCATTTTGTATCCGCCCAATATAACCAAACATATCGCGATCGATTAAGTAGTGGAAAATCTTCTCTCGTTTATCGTTTTGGTGCGCGCGTGAACTGTCAACACTACCACAGACAGTCTCATGTGCTTTGCAGACCCACAGAGAGACTCTTTTTTTGGCACTTAAAAATATTAATTTCTAAACTTCCTAAAATGTCGGGGTTTCGGCTTTTGCTTTCTAAAGCTGTCATTCAATAATCGTATGCGTATTTGCATTACTTTTTAACTTTTTTTGGCTTTGCAGCTGACAGCGCACCCACAATCACGAGAGTCAAATTCATTCTTGAATCTAAACGACTCCCAAAAACTTTATAATATAAAACAAAACAAAAAAAAAAAGCTGCAAAATATATGTACACTATTAATAATGGTTAATCAATGCATTTGTCTTATTTAAATAATCTACAGGTTTTAAAATTTGTAATTATTATAATTTCTAGAGATATTGTCTGTTCTTATTCCCTTTTCTGTCTTTTATTTCTCATTTGCTGTCATTAAGCTATATTACATAGGCTATTTGATATACATATTTAAAATGTTTTGGCATTCAAGTTTGCACTAAACTTGAAAGAGAGAGAAGCAGATTTTATGTAGATTTTACTTGTCAGTGGGTGCACATGGCTCCTGAATTGCAAAAAGTAAAAGTAGTGGATTTCTTTATTTCAACATTTTTTTTTTTTAGAAACGGTGTATAACAATGTCATAATAAATTAAATAATTGTTAAATTTTAAATTATGTTTTCGCATATAATATTTGTGTGATGCGTGTTTCTCAATCTGGCTACTACCGCAAGTATATTTCAAACCTGTGGGAAGCACTGAAATATATATTATTATTTCATTCATTTTCTTGTTGGCTTAGTCCCTTTATTAATTCAAGAAAAGTAATTTTAACACCATTATAATTATTTAATAAGTAATTCATTACTTTTTAGCAGTAACACAATACTGGATGGGAGGAATAAAACAACAACCAAAAGTTACGGCTAGTATTAAATTGGAGGAAAAAAAAAATAAATCTGTTACATTTTGTTTAGTGTCTCCCAACCTTCTGATGAAACAAACCCAGCTAAGAGTGGAGAAAAAAGAAAATGCAAAGGAAAAAAAAAGTAAAGGACAACAATATTGCTTTGGTAGATAATTTGGTAATGGTAGAGGGTTTAGTCTGATGTTTAGGTGCTGAACTTACGTTGCTGATTTGGTCTTGTGTTTTCTTGATTCTCTGCAACTCTGGTGTGTCGGCCACAACACTGAAGCCCTTTCCCTTGTTCTTCTCAAACTCCTCCTTGTAGAGCACCTGCAACACACACACACACATAGACAAACACACACACGCAAACATTAACATCAGATATCCGAGGAATCATTACAGTTTATCTAATGTTTAAAGGGTTCACAGCTATCCTCTTAATTATTTCACTATAAATAAAGCTTGGTTAATAGTTAACCATAAAAGCAACGTTTGACATTGTCCACATTCCACCGGGCAGCAAGGCACTTAAACTATTACAAAGTTGAGCATTTTCCCTTTAACCAACAGCTAATGAAAGCAGTTGCATAGCATTTAGACAATGGTTACGGTTAACCCCAGAAGATCAAACGAATGTCAAATGATATATTAAGAGCCATGTCACTTAGTTACCTTTAGTTGGTTTATAATTCTTCATGTCTGGGTCTAAATACACAAAGAGTTCCCCACCATGTTTACGCTGTGCTCTATTTTTGCTGTTAGGATTAAAAAAGGTTTACATAAAAAAAGTCACATTTCAGACTGCTCTGCATTTGTGATCCTACCATGCTTTGTCAATGACTGAGATGGCCAATTAAATTACAGCAGGTTGAGTGTAGAGTAAACCGATGCACAAATACTGCACAGAAATTTCAGTTTTACATTGATATTTAATCATTTGGCAGATGCTTTCATCCAAAGCGACTTACAAATGAGAAAAAAGTAATCAAAGCAACAAGAACAAAAATAGGTAAATTATATGATTAGCATATGATTTAGTTTTAACAACTAATAGAGAAGAGGGCGAAGTGGAAGCAGCAATATATTTGACTGTTTTACAACTGAAAAGTTTGATGGCTTTAATATCCAGTGGTGGAAAATACACACACAAGCACAGCATTAATCCTATCTAGGGCTTGTCTGAATACAGGGTTTCCACAGGTTTCATGTCAAATTAAGGCTTTTTTAATATCTTTTTTTATATTTTTGATCACCTTAAAGGACCAACGATACCCACATCACGAAATGCAGAGGTTTGTTCCTTTTTATTTAGCATGTGGTATCAAATTCCATTTAAACATTACTCTTCCACCAGTCCTTACTTGATACTCGCATCCAATACATCAGTTTGTGAATGAAATCTATCTATCTATCTATCTATCTATCTATCTATCTATCTATCTATCTATCTATCTATCTATCTATCTATCTATCTATCTATCTATCTATCTATCTATCTATCTATCTATCTATCTATCTATCTATCTATCTATCTATCTATCTATCTATCTATCTATCTATCTATCTATCATAATTTACAAGCACAACTGTCTCACAATCACTTACTGTAAAAAAATATACAAATAACACTGGTAAAAAGTGGTTTCAATTTAATCAATGACAAATACTCTATAAATCCTCCAGAAGACAACCTGATTAATTTAAATACACTTTAAAATGCAATTATTATTTTAAAATACAATGGTGCACCTAAATATTAAAGACATGGTTACAGTGTTGTTTTTATAAATATAAATATTATTAATATTTATTAATATGAATAAATTCATTCAATCTAAATATTACAAATACAAACAATACATGTAACAACGAAATATTTTAATGAGAATAACAGAAACAGCAGGCTTTAATGTTTTATTTTTCATCTTAACTAATAGAGGCAGAGCAACAATAGATGTAAAAATTAAGAAACTGAAATGATGTTTTGATTTGTACTGTTGTTTTGATTTGAACTGTAGTTTGTTCTATTGTTTATCTGCTGTATCCAATAGTTGTCAGTAAACATGGGATTTGTGCCTCAAAATGCTTTCAAAAGTCACGAGACACTAAAAATGTTCTCACACAAGAGCCGTGTTGAGTGAGACAAAGTTGGAGCTCTGGGAGAAGATTCACACTGGATTTAAGCATTCTTTGAGTATTATTTCATAGTTCTGGAGTGCACTGACTTGCACAAAACATACAGAAACGATCTAAAACAAAATATGAGGGATAACAGAAGGCAAATATTGATGTGTTGTACCTGGCTCTGCATCTTGCTTTGTTGTTTCAGACGCAGGTTCTCCGGAGTGTCCGCAACACTGGTGAAAGATGTCTTCGGATAGTGTCTGAAACATATACACACAGACATTTTTGTTAAAATCTGCATTTTTGAGAGATGAATTGGTAAACTAACATCTCAGAATTACAAAAATGAATATTTCCAATAATGTATCATACTTGAAAATTACATGACGATATGCTGAGTCTTGAGATTTACTAATATGTCTTGTGATAAGTCTCAAGATATTCGCAAATTTTATATTTTGACCATACTAAAACCCTTATTTTTATGTTTCTGATCTAATTAAGCCTCTGCTACGCTGAAAAATCTATGTGAAGGTGCAAAAACTTTGAATTTAAGACTATGAATGACGGAATACTCCAGCAGATGTTGTTATTTTGCTCTTTTGTCTCGAATCCTGATGTAAGTTTTTATTTTTAGCTCTGAGGCTCTAGGTTCACCTTTGGGTCCAGACTAAGCCAATAACGTAACAGCACCTACTGGAGAGGCAGATATAAAGATAGTAATTTTTATTTCTGATCAAATTTCGTTAAACAACCCGTGCATGCAACACACAAAAGCTTGGCACATAAAATACATGTAATTTATTGCAGCTCTTCAGGGTACGGATATTGCATTCATTATTACCTAGACAGTAGACAATGATGATATTTCAATATATGTTGTACAGCTCTAATTATAACAATATTGTCAAAAAAACTGAACTGTCATGTAATTTCCTCATTCGCAAACCATCCTTGGTGTTAACGCATTTTTCAGACAAACAAAAATATATATATTGGGAGTGTGACGAGATGCTTACACTACGAGACTAGACACAAGAGTTGGTTCACAAGAACAAGAAGAGATTTTTCAACTATTTTTAAGAAATCTTTAATGATGAAAAATATAATGTAAAACAGTCCTTTATTCAACTGAAAAACAAAACACAAAATGCAAGACAATTTGGATGCTTTTTTAAACCAGCTTGTAATGGATGCTATTTTACCTCTACTTTATGCCACAAAGGATCTGCAAACACTGCAAAATTTTAAGCTATACACTCTACTGGCTGGCTTCTTCCCTGAATAAAGGATTAACAAATGAATGTGTTTGGACAGTCTCTACAAGTGAAGGCATCATCTACACACAATATGAATTCCCAATTAGAAAAATACTACAAACTATAAAATACTATTTATTAGGGCTGGACAACAATTCCATATCAATATATATCGCGATATATTTTTTTTAAATAACGGTGAATGAACGGTGAACTGAATGAATTTCAGTGCTCAGCCATCAAAGAGCGTGATGTTACTCACGTGATGATGTACATCACAGACACGCTGCCAGAGCTCTGCAGTTGGTCAAGCTCCGTGCCCGTCAAAGAAAGTTTTACCTACAAAATGAGTGTCCTGAATACAGATGTGAATGAACAAGCTTCCACGAGTAAGAATGCAGACGAATTTGTTGATGAGAGAGGAAAGACTAATGCGGTGGTGTGGAAGTGGTTCGGCTTTTAAAGTTCCGATAAACTTGAAGTTTTGGTGCGCTGCAAAATGTGCGGGAGAGTGATGCCGACTAGCAGCAGGAACACATCAAATCGGTTTCATCCGATAGAACTTGCTGCATGCTGGTAAAGCACTCGAGCAATTTTACAAAACAAAATTCACAAACATCTTTATCAGGAATCTGGTTATTGCGAAGCTTCTGAAATAGAAAGAATGTGTTTAATAAAGGTATTAAATCTGTTAAATAATGAAAATGTGCCATATAAAATATTAGTCTACATCACACCTGGATCCTCCAAATGTAATTAAAGGCTTTTTAAGACCTTTTTAATACCATTTCAAATTAAATTCAATGCCAACTTCGTACCCATTCCGACAGAAGTATGAGGGGGAAAATGTCAAATCTGTATACATTTTGAACCCTAGAATAGAATTATGTACAAGTGACTACTCGAATTATAAAAAACATTTTATTTAAACTATCAGTTATGTTTAAGACATACGCAACAGTGTGGTCGTCCACCCAGTAGCGAATATGAAGGTCCAACTGCTTACTTTTCGTCATCTTATTGAGACTCTCGTCAAACATGACCACAACCCATTGGCCTTATTGGCCTGGTCAGTCAGTTCTTTATTTATAAAATGAGCCAATCCGAATTTAGTAATATATGCAGTTTTGTTGCTTCCACACGAGAATGTAGCTGCAACCCTAGGAAACATGGTTTTGAAAACCTCTGTAATGTTCTCATTTGATGTGTAAGAATGGTGCTCACAGATTGTTTTAAGGAGCCACATCACCTCTGCCCGCAAAGTTGGTGTTGAGTAGGGCTGCAACTAACGATTATTTTAAAAATCGATTAATCTGTTGATTATTTATTTATTTATTTTTAAGTTTAAAATATTCTATCTGGCCCGGGAGTCTGTTTTTTAGAACACTCACTCTTAATGTTTCCGTGGAGACGCATCATGTTTGTCACGTGACACTCCGCAGCCACAACAGCGATGTATGACAAATGTATCCCTTTTATTTAATTTTTTCTGTTTTAATTCAACATATTTACATGCTTTCTCATCATGTCAAACTGATAAACCTGATATTCCAATTCACATAAACGTGTAAGTGATCGTTCATCTATATCGTGAGATAGACACTGCCATGTTTACTTGCCGCCGCTGCCTCATTTATGAAAAGCAGAACATGCAATATGACACATCTTTCAGCGGAGTTAAGATGGTTTTTTTTTTTGAAAAAAAAAAAAAATGCACTAAAAAAGCAGCCCTTTTCCGACGGTTCCTTACTGAGCTCTGCTCAGCTCGGGCTATCCCGGCTAAACGCATATTGTGACTGCTTAAACGGAGCAGTGCTCGTAATATAGAGCGAAAAAAAGAAAAAGACAGCTGTGAAACATAACCTGCTTTGTCTTTTTGTAGGAAACACAGTTTAGATGTTTTTAGGGTAAGAGTTTTTTGAGCTATTGCCGTCTATAACGTAATGTGTCAGGACTACCGAAAACAAAACCAACTTAACCCTTAGAGTACATAATTACATTCAGGATGTTTCTGGATGCTGCTTTTTGTTTTGTCCTAACACACACACACACACACACACATATATATATATATATATATATATATATATATATATATATATATTAGGAGACCTTTTAGTATTGGGACCTGGTGTGAAGATGTGTGAATGGATTCAAATAAGTATTATGATTGGAAGACAAATTATTCTGAGGGGATGGCGTTTAGTAGGTCCACCATCAATTTAAGATGGGTTACAGAACTGGGGAAGGTGACAGCATATGAAAAATTGACATATAGAATACTAAATAAATTGGATGTTTATCAGAGAAAATTGGGAAATTACTTGCCATTTTTGGAGAAGGAATAAGGTCATTGTGGTGAGACGCACACCAAAAATGTAATTATTTATTTATTTATTTTTTATTATTATTTATTATTAGATTTTTTTATTATTTATTTATGTCTTATTGTATTGTTGCTGTTCCTCTGGAGTTTAATAATAAGTATTTGTGTTTACTGGGTCTATGATAGCAATACTCAATGACATCACTGCCGTTTTAGGGGAGGGGAGGGATAAGGGGATGTTAAATGGAGGTAAAATGTGTAAACTGTTTGTATTGTGAAATTATTGAAGAAAAAGAAAATAAAAATTGAATCATTAAAAAAAAAAAAAAAAAAAAAAAAAAAAAAAAAAAAACTTAACCCCGCTGTTTTCCTCGGGCTCAGCGGCAAACACAAAACACCAGGACCAGGGACTTTACAGTTCTCAGAACAAACAGAACAAAAGTAGGATTCTGTAGTGATTCTTCCGCATCATCCCTGTCTTCTTTAAGGTGCTGAACTCTGTATTAGTGCGCAAGAGACAGAGAGCGGCCGTGTTCACTCCGCTCTGCGCTGAGCTAAAGTGTTCTTTTTTTTTTTTTAATCAAACAATTAATGCTAACTCGGTTTTTGCATACAAATTGATGTCATAGTTCCTCCACTCTATTATAAAGTTACCATTATTTGATTAGACTCTGTCTTTGTTTAAAAGAAAGGCATATAGAAGCTAATAATTACTAACACTAAAGCTAATTGAGTAAATTATGGGATACATTTCATTTAATGCATTAACTTTCTAAATAAACATGATTTTTTTTAACAAATACTTTTAGTCAATTTAAATCTAAAAAGTGTGCCACTGCTAAAGGCATAGATCATGAATTAGCGGTTGCATAGGTGAACGTCCGCATTTGCTTATCTCTGATCTGCATGTGGATAATGAAGGCATGAGAGTGTAATTTGTGCCTTGTGTAAACAAGGCAGCCTATTTGTCCTATTTTCACCAACGCAACACAAAATTAGCTTGACAGCAACAAACGCAACCACAGTCATCTCGTGCAACTCACAATTAGAGCAGCAGAAATAAAAGAACTGTCTGCAAAACACAAGTGCAACATTATCTGATATATTTGGAAATCAGGCAGTAACCAAACCATTTAACTACAATGAATCATTTAACCGATGTAACAACATATAAAGTGGCACGACAATAATTAAAAGGACCGATTCAGTAAAAATGAATCATTTCACAACACAACAGCAACTGAGCCAATCAAAACACAGTCTGCTCCGGGTTACCACAGAACAGCCTGTCTGCTTAGTAAACCTCCATATAGTACAGTAACACTGTGCAGGGAACTAACACATAATACAGTACATGCACTGTAAAGCTGTGTAAATAAATACAGACTGATGCAGCAATAAGTCAGACAGCCACGCCAAAGACTACATAATTCATCTTGCCTACACATTCAAAGACTGACCAAAGATGCATTGCTTTTAAAACATGTATATGACATAATATTTTATTAATTTAATAAGCAAGTTTAGCTATAGTTATTTATAGCACTTTGTTCTTTTATCATTATTATTGTTTTGTTTTTAATTAAGCTAACTATTCTTCTTTAGATATTATCTATTATGTAGGGTACAATACAGATGTTTGTGAATGCAAAATGTCTGAATAGTTTTAAAGATT